GAAATTTTAAACGTCGAACAATTAACCTCAGAGTATATAAAAACATGAATACATCATTATGAAACAGTATACACTCGAGTTGTATTATTATAATGCATTACAATGTATTTATATACCCGGGTTTATTATTTATTATTATTATGATATTATTTACAATGATAATGATATTATTAAATTCTATATGAGGTAAATAATAAATTCCTTATATATTTAATAATACTTTTTTTTTTCTTTTTTTTAGATGAGTTTCGATACTATACAATATTGAGAAGTAAGAAAAATTTTTTTTTATATATTCAGTTGAGTTGAGTTGAGATAAGTTATTTTGAGAAAAAATAAATACTATCAGTTATTATGAGTATGAGTATGAGTACTTTCGAGATGAGATGAGTTGAGTTATGAGTGTTATTAGTGTGGGTCAGAGAACTACATTGTCTGATTCAATAGAGACAGGAACTTTCGTGCCATAGCGAAGCAGTGTAGTGCTAGGGAAGGCCTCTATGTGTCGTTGGTCCCTACCGTTCATACGGCATACCTTCGGCCATTACCCTACCAGTCCAGCGTGGTCCGCCTGTGGTACCTATGGCATTGACAAGGGATCTCTCCCTTGTCGCGCGCGCGGGTAAGCCAAAATAAGCCGAGAAAAATCGAAACGATAAGCAATGTGAATAAATTTATTGAGCAAGCGAAGAAAAAATTACAGTTACATTTTCTTTTTTACATAGTCAATGTTATCTTTCGTTTCTTTAATATGAGGATGTGTTGACGGAAGTGATTTTTGACAGATAGCAAGTGCCTTTTCTAAGAATGAGAGTGCTTTTGAGTAGTCTCCTTTGCCGAAATACACCATACCGATGTTGTTGTAGGAAGTAGCCAAATTGGGATGACTCGGAGGCAGAGCTTTTTCCTCGATTTTAAGTGATTTTTCGTGAAATTCAAGTGCTTTCGAGTAGTCGCCCATGTTTCTATACACTTCACCGATGTTGCTGTAGGAACTAGCCAAATTGGGATGATTCGAAGGCAGAGCTTTTCCGAGAATTTTATGTGATTTTTCGTAAAATTCAAGTGCTTTCAAGTAGTCACCCATGTTTCTATACACTTCACCGATGTTGTTGTAGGAAGTAGCCAATAAGGGATGATTCGAAGGCAGAGCTTTTTCGTAGATTTTATGTGCTTTTTCGTAAAATTCAAGTGCTTTCGAGTAGTCACCCATGTCGTCATACACTCCACCGACGTTGTTGTAGGAACTAGCCAAATCGGGATGATTCGAAGGCAGAGCTTTTTCTCTTATTTTAAGTGATTTTT